CCTTACTACACAGGATTATAAAGGGTGGAAGACACTAGCTAGATATGTAGTAAAAGTTAATATTGAAGCGTAGGTGCTATAGCTATTAGTATATGTTAAGTAAAGCTTTATTGTAATTATTCTTATAGATGTAGGTCTTGCTTAAGTTTCTAAGTAGTATATGTAACGGTTCGAGTACACACTGAACTAACATCCGAAAGGGATCCGAACATGGGCACGCACTAGCCGAGGGCAGATCTGCTGATATAAAACCCCACCTTCTCCATACCGTAGCTCGATAGATTTTTGATATCCTTTCGTACAAGGCCTATAGGTGTCTATTCGAATTAAGGCTCGTTTGATGTCCCACGCACTCCCATATGCCTCTGAGTGACACTACCGCCGATACTGATCCGAGTAGTCTTGCCTGCGCCGTTACATTATATCAAAAATCTCACCACCGCCGGTGACGGCATTCAAACAATATCGCAGCTGTCTGTTCAGACTACATCCAAAACCAAGTGTTTCCGGAGTTGATCCGGAACCTTACACCGTTACATCTAACATTCACATAGACAGGATCCCATTGATCTCCTGTCGACCGAAGCCTTTGGGTTTGGAATTTCTGTACTCACGCGAGTCGGATTAACTTCGGAAAAGCCGCGTAGAGTGCGCCAAGGTAGAGACACGGAGACTACCAAGAACCCATCAACCTAGGAATCAATCGCCATGGTTGACCGAATCACCACCGATTCTGCGGAACCGTCAAGAAGAACAACTCGCCAACAAACGCAGAAACCCCAACAGGAGAAGACAGCTGGCAAGCAGCCTGCTGTTGAGATAGAAGAAGAAGAAGAATCGGAAAAGGATCACACTAGTGCGCTACAGGCAGAAATCGATAGACTGAACGCCCAAGTCGAACGATTAATGCGGGAAAATACCCTGAACCGGGATGTACCAGTACCCACCACCGAAACCCCTCCGACTACAACCGAACAACCTAGCCGACTATCAGCAAGGTTCCTGTCAGTTACACCTGACCCTCAACATGCAAAACTCAGCGAGCGTACCCCTCCAATTGATAATCTGAGTGATGGAGTAAACCCTACTTTTCGGCAATGGCAAGCCTCAATACAAGATCGGCTCAGCATTAACTCGGATCACTATCGGAGCGAACGCGCGAGAATGGCTTTAGTATGGGGTCACACAACCGGCACCGCCAAAGAATATCTAGAACCACAATACCTCGCCGAATCGGAGGAGGAACGGTTCCTAGTTGCCGAGGATATGATTTTATTACTCAAATCATATTTTATATCTGGAAATGAACAGGCGGAGAGCCGAGCAGCTTTCCACCGCCTGTCAATGGGAAGAAAGGAGACCTTTACGGAATTCAAAGCGCACTTTATTAGTGCAGCCGTAAAAGGGTCCGTATCAAGACCGGAATGGTTCTTCTACCTCTGGGAGAAGATCACACCAGCGCTACGAGCCCCAAACTTAGGATTTAAGCATCTGTGGGCAGGCTCGTTTGAAAAAATGGTTCAGCACCTAACGGCTTTTGATATGGAAAGAAGAAACGCACCACTCGGTACCTACTCGGAGACTAGGCCTAGTCAAGCTTTAGCTCTCTCAACAAAACAAAATCCACGGCCAAATCGGGAGTTTCGACCCCGTACCTACGACACTAGGCCCGACCCGGCCCCGACTCCGTACCGCGCCTATTCCTCCACTCCCAGACCAGCATCGAAAACTCCCGCACCAGACAATGTCACTCCCGGCAATTGCTACCACTGCGGCAAGCCTGGCCACTACGCCAATGACTGTCCGGTCCCGCGGGTAAGGGAAATTCAAGCAGAGATAGAAGATTATGAGGACGCCCTTGAGTATCATTCGGATGAGACTCGGTCGGGAAACGACGAGGCCTAGGGAAACGCTCCAGCCTAGGCATGAACAAGTATGACCTTGCGAAAATAGATCTATCAAACTTGTTCGGAGGTAAACATTTCCGTACCCCCACCGTTTTATGTTCGAAGGGTTATGGGGTCAGCTTAGAATCTCTAGTTGATACCGGAGCCCAAGGTTTTCTTTTCTTAAATTCTGCTATTGCCCTTTCTATATCCGGCTCTCTCCAGGTACCTATCCGCAGACTACCTTTTAAAATTACAGTTAAAGGATTTCACGATCAGGTACAGACCCGGGTAGACAAGTATATCCGGTTACACATCCGTATTGACGGAAGAAAGATTCTTAACTGCCCCTTTGTAATTATGGATTTGGGATCTCAGGATTGTATTATTGGGATCAAATGGATGCGACGATTCCAATTGAAGCTCGATACCGCTCGGAACCGAATCGTATGGCCAGCTCAATACCCCCCAACTTATGATCCTAGCCCCCCTCTCCTCGTGCAGTTGAAATCACCCTATTCTGATACCGATGCGCAACTAGATATCCGGCGTAGAGACGCCCTTTGGGAAAAGGATGAGTACCGTAGACAAACCAGCCCTCGACAAGGGCTGGTCCAGCGAATTCAAGGACTCATCAAAATTCCTAAGGTACGTCTCCTTCCGCCGCCTTTACCACCTGAACCGGAGTCACCCCGGACTCCGGCGCCAAAACCTACCTCACCTCGCATAGCGGTTATTTCCGCCAATGCTTTCCATTACACCATGAAACGGAAGGAAAACGATTTCTTCACGACTAGTATCTATGAGATAGATCGAATCTTACAAGAAAGGTTGGAACAAGACGACCCTGAGAATGCCAAATTAGTGCAGGACCGACTTCCTTCCGACTACTATGCGTACCGAGATGTTTTCAGCAAAACAGCCGCTGATCGGCTGCCGGAACATCGTCGATACGACCACAAGATCGTTCTCACAGAACCCCTTCCGAATCAATTCAGTCCTCTCTATAAGCAGAGTACTGAAGAGCTAAAAGCTACAAAAACTTTTGTGATGGAAAATCTCCAAAAAGGGTACATTGACTCGAGTCACTGCCCATTCGCCTCCCCTGTCCTGTGTGTTCGGAAGCCTAACGGAGACCTACGCATCTGTGTAGATTACCGTAAGCTGAATTCTATTACTCGAAAGGACGCTTATCCGATACCGCGAATAGACGAACTACTAGCTCGTACGCACAAAGCTCAGATTTTCACGAAGCTAGATATTCGCGCGGCCTTCAACAAGATCCGAATGGACCCCGACTCGGAAGAGTACACAACGTTCCGCACTCGCTATGGAACGTACAAGTCGAAGGTATTGCCTTTTGGACTTTGCAACGGCCCGGCTACGTATCAGCGGTACATGAACGATGTGCTGATTGATTATCTGGACAATTTCTGCATAGTCTATCTGGACGATATCCTGGTGTACTCCGAATCCAGTCCGGACCACGTCCGTCACGTCCGCAAGGTACTGGACAGGTTGCGAGCTGCTGGACTTCAAGTTGACATCAAGAAAAGCGAATTCCATGTCACTCGGACCAAATACCTGGGCTACATTTTAACTAACAAAGGTCTAGAAGTTGACCCAGAAAAAGTAGACGCCCTGCGAGACTGGAAACCACCCACAACCGTTACTGCTGTGAAGTCGTTCCTAGGATTTACAGGGTTCTACCGACAATTCGTCCCAGAATACTCGCGAATTGCAAAACCTCTTCTCGCTCTCCAGAGTCCCTCTAGACCCTTCGTATGGGATTCGGACTGCGATCAAGCTTTTGAAAAATTGAAATTAGCCCTCCTTTCAATACCTACCTTATATCACTATCAACCAGAGTATGATACGAAAGGTAGAGACTGACCGCCCTCCGATGGGCGTTGTGG